AAACAATATATGAAGAAAAACTTAAAAATTACCAAGAGATGTTAAGGCATTCTACTCAAAATGAGGCTAAATTAAAACAACACGTTAGCCAAGCTCAAGAAATTATTAAAGAACTTAAAGAAGGATATGACAAAAATTCAAAAAGTTTCAATGAAATTACTGAGGCATATCAAAATGAACAAATTGCACATAATAAAACATTACAAGAACTAAATGAATTAAGGCTAGCACAAAAAAGTATGTGCAGTAATATGACGATGTGTGCAGCAGTAGAAATTGTAATAAAAAATGGTAAAGTTACTGGTCTTAATATGAAAGAAAGTTTAGATGCCACAAGAGATGATGCAATGATGCAATTAAATTTAATGACTCGTAAAGTGGATGAATTAAGAAGAGAACTGACCGCAACAAAAGTAGAAACAACTAAAAGGAATGAAGAAGTTGAAAAAGAAAGAAAAAACTCACAAGAACTTATGCGAAAAATTGAATTAATGAAGACTGAAAGTATTAATTTACAAAATGATATTAAGTTAAAAGATAATGAAATTGAAGAACTTAAGAAAAAGATAGAGGAAGAAAATTCTCATCAAAAAAAAACTACATCAAGTAAAGAACAAAAAATACAATTTATGCTAAAAAAAAAATATCAAAATCTTAGAAATGATAGAAAATCAGATAGACGACAATTCATTTCTAGTATAAATAGTGATAATGTAGAAACAGGTGATAATGCGTTACAAAATAATACAGAAGAAATTGATAATCCACTTGCCCCTAAACAAATTCAAAAACCAAATAGAAGTTCTTTTACTCCAATAATTGAAAAAAGTAATTCATTAGCAAATATTCTAAATGATACAAATAGTGGGTTATTTTCTAAATCAAGTAGTTCCTGTTTTAACCCATTAAATGCTTTAAGTAGTAATACCTCTTCTATAACTAGTTCTTCAACACAAAGCACTCCATGTAATTTATTATTACCTCAAACAGATAGTAAGTCAAAAATACTTAGAAGAAAGAAGTCTTCATCAAAATTACTAAGTAGTAATTTAGATTCAATGATTAGTGATGTAATATTAAATGATAGGAATATAAGTGATATAGGGATAATAGAAGATGGGATTGTAATTGTCTATACTACAAAAGAAGGGAGTCGAGAAG